CTGTGTTGTGTTAGAGGCACTGTGTTGTGTATAGTGTTAGGCACTGTGTTGTGCTAAGAGGTGCTGTTTTTAGAGACACTGTGTTGTGTTAGAGGCACTGTGTTGTGTTAAAAGCACTGTGTTTGTTGTGTTAAGGGGTGCTGTGTTGTGTTAGAGGCACTGTGTTGTGTGTTAAGGGGTGCTGTGTTGTGTTAGAAGCACTGTGTTGTGTTAGAGGCACTGTGTTGTGTTAAGAGGTGCTGTGTTGTGTTAGAGGCACTGTGTTGTGTTAGAGGCACTGTGTTGTGTTAAGAGGTGCTGTGTTGTGTTAGAGGCACTGTGTTGTGTTAGAGGCACTGTGTTGTGTTAAGAGATGCTGTGTTGTGTTAGAGGCACTGTGTTGTGTTAAGAGATGCTGTGTTGTGTTAGAGGCACTGTGTTGTGTTAAGAGATGCTGTGTTGTGTTAGAGGCACTGTGTGTGTGTTAAGTGTGCTGTGCTGTGTTGTGTTAGAGGCACTGTGTTGTGTTAGAGGCACTGTGTTGTGTTAAGGGGTGCTGTGTTGTGTTAGAGGCACTGTGTTGTGTTAAGGACTGTGTTGCTAAGAGTGTTGTGTTAGAGGCACTGTGTTGTGTTAAGAGATGCTGTGTTGTGTTAGAGGCACTGTGTTGTGTTAAGGGGTGCTGTGTTGTGTTAGAGGCACTGTGTTGTGTTAAGTGTTGTGTTGACACTGTGTTGTGTTAGAGACACTGTGTTGTGTTAGAGGCACTGTGTTGTGTTAAGACACTGTGTTGTGTTAGAGACACTGTGTTGTGTTAAGAGGTGCTGTGTTGTGTTAGAGGCACTGCACTGTGTTAGAGCCACTGTGTTGTGTAAGTTAGGCACTGTGTTGTGTTAGAGGCAATGTGTTGTGTTAGAGGCACTGTGTTGTGTTAGAGGCACTGTGTTGTGTTAAGAGGCACTGTGATGTAAATGGCACAGCAATGTAAAGAGGGGCTGTGATGTGAAGGGGAACTGAGGACACTAGGACTGCTGTAAAGAGGGAACTGTGATGTGACCACAATGTGAAAAGTACGCTGAAGACGATAATGTATGGGGGGGGACCGTGGTGTGGTATAACGCTAAGATTCGGACCTCTGCTGGAAAGAAATTTTGCTGACCAGACCTCCATAACAGTTTGAGGCCGGCAGGACTCAGCATTCTAAGATTTAGTATTGTGCTCCAGTTCCGCTTTAAGACCTCATGCACACAGAACATTTGTACTGCCGCTTTTAGGGGCGGCAGGTGTTTTTTTTCCTGCTTCCAAACATCCCTCCTTGTTAGCCTAGGTGTCCATGCACACAAAGACTTTTAGCAACGTTTAGTGGCAGGAGAGTTTAGAGGCAGGAAAAAAAAAACAACTGCCATTGCATCCAGGAGCAGCAGCGTTTTGGCAGAAAAAATGCTTGAGCTTGTTTAACACTAGATGTTTTTAGTGCTTGAGGATCAATTTATTTCAATAGCCACAATAAATTATTATTCTGGCCAATTAAATTAATTAAAGCCCAAGCGCTTGACACCTGTAAATGCACCTAAACGCTTGTAAAAGCGCTAGACACTTTTACAAACGTCAGGTGTTTCTGTTTGCATGAGGCCTAAGGATTAAAAATGTGCAGTAGTCTGAAAGAATACATTTCTTCAAATATTACTAATTTATGTATGGGGCCCTTCCACCTGGCAGTACTAGGGTCGTTGGTTCTAATCCCAGCCCCGACACTCCTCCAGGTACTCTGGTTTCTTTCCACACTCCAAAGACATGCTGGTAGGTTAATTGGCTCCTGTCTAAATTGTCCCTAGTATGTGTATGAATGTGAGTTAGGGACCTTAGACTGTACACCTCTTGAGGGTTAGGGACTGATGTGAATGTACAATATATATGTAAAGCACTGTGTAAATTGACGGCATTACGTAAGTACCTGAAATAAATAATTATGTTGTCCAAAAGACGAACCTGCAATTTATGTAATAATCCTTTTTTAGAATATAAGTAAATAAAAATATTCTCAGGGTGACAAAGGAGCAGCAAAGAAAACTGAACTGTGTAATAACCACATTGGCCATAAGGGCTCATGTACACTGCAGCTGCTAAATTGATGTTCAGGAGCTGTTGAGCGTTTTTTTTCAGCAGCCCCTGAACTCTCTCTAATGTTTCCTATGTGTCCATGTAAACTATGTTGTTTACAGTCGTTTACAGGCAGTTGAGTTTACAGTCGTTTTCTTGAATGCACAAAACTTGCGTTCAGGAGATATTACCAACGTTTTAAGCGCTTGTAAACGCGGTTAACTGCGTTTATAAGCATTTGCGTTTAGAAGTGTTTTTTAACTGTTCCATTTCCAGATGCTGTCCAGAGCCATTTTTCATCATCAGAAATGCATGCAAAGCATATTCCATGTATTCAAATGGACCTAGTGCACCGGCACAGTCAGTTCCAGGTTTTGCATGATGAAAAAAAATGTAGAGCGTGCTGCATTATGCTCACGATGGGATCCATAGTGAATACAACCAGAAAAGACAGATCATCTTAACACATACTGCTCTCTCTGCTTCTGCTCTCTCTTTTTTTCTCAAAATGTCTGAAATAGTTAATCATGTACTATTTTCAAGGCATTCTAGGCATTTGGGAGGGTCTCCTGAGGTTATCTTTTAAAAACGCTTCTGAACGCAAACGTGCATAAATTTGTCTAAACACGGTATGCAAACGTGGCTAAACTGGCGTTTTTTAACCTACGTTTTCCAGCAGTCAGTTTCTTATACACTATACATCCTGGATTTTCAACTATGGGGCAGATCTGATTATACAGGTGTACAGTATGTCCACATTTGCTAAAGATTTGGCTACTTTTGCCCAAACCCAGTTTAGGCGTGCAGCACACTGCTGGATTTCTAATCTAGAAAAATGTATGACTCGTGTATATCAGACTACAATCTGCTACAGAGAAAGAGGCACGGTCACTGTATGAAATGTTGGCTTCAGCTTTGGCATTGTTTAGCTCTGAAATGTTTAGCAAGCAAAACACTTAAATCGCATTTACTCTTTTGTATTACAAACCTCCCTTTTCACAAGCATAACAAATAGGTCTCAGTACGTTTTTATTGTCCTGTAATGGTTAGGAAATTATTATTTAATAGCAGTTACAGATACAAACCCTGCAAATAGTCAATACTGAACAACATTATTGAGAAAAGCTTGTTATGTTTTATATGCTTTTGTAGCTATTTTTTCAAGTCAAGCATTTTAAAGGCTAGGCCCACACAATCAATTATTTGCTACTCGATTATAATTCTGTTTGGTTGAATAACCTGCCACATTTTTACGTGTTTCAGAAAAAAACATCCTTGCTGTAATTCCTGGCTCCAACTGTATGTGCCAATAAAGTAGTCTTTAGGCCAAACAAGAATGGCATTGGGTTGGTGATTATGCAGTAATGTCTGCCAGAACTTCTCTCCTTCCTCCTCTACCCTCTCAATTGTCATAAACATGAATGCTGGGACAAGCAAACATAGCTAGGAGTTACAGCTAGCAGGTGGAGCATGTCTGTACATTTAGGATTTGCATTAAAGCTGACCTATACTCAAACTAAAATTTGTTAACAGCTATACTAAAGCACCATAAACACAATGAGAATATCAGACGTATGATCGTCTGTTTTTTTTTTTCGTATGCTAGTCTCATATCGAAAGTGAAGAGGTTGCTAAAGATACAAAAACTCTTGTACGACAGAAAAAAATTTGAAAGTGATGTACAGGTGTACCTCGGTTTATGAATTTAATGCGTTCTGCAGGACTTTTCGTATAGCAAAAAATTCATAAACCGAAACGCGGTTTCCCATAGGAATGCATTGAAAACCAAATAATCCGTTCCAGAGGTAAAAAGAAAGTAAAAAAAAAAAGTCTTTTATCTCTTCAAAACTCTTTATAAAGTGCACTTTAAAGACATAAATACTGTACAGGGACATGAATAAAACTGAATTCGGAAATGTTCTGAAAACTAATTAATCTGTTCCGGAGGTCAGAAAAAAGTAAAAAAAAGTCTTATCTGTTCAAAACTCTTTATAAAGTGCACTTTAAAGACATAAATACTGTACAGGGACATGAATAAAAATTAATTTGTAAATGCATTAAAAACCAATTAATCTGTTCTGGAGGTCAGAAAAAGTAGAAAAAAAGTCGTATCTGTTCAAAATTCTTTATACAGTGCACTTTAAAGGCATAAATACTGTACAGGGACATGATTAAAAATGAATTCGTAAATGCATTGAAAACCAATTAATCCATTCATCTTACGAAAAATATTTGTAAACCGAGACATTATTTTCAATGGATTTTGATTTGTAAACCAAAAATTACGTTAACCGAGGCGTTCGTAAACCAAGGTACGCCTGTAATGTATTTGTATGGTATTTTCAGACAAAAACTGCACTGATTAAACAAAAATCATACAATGTGGTATCATATGAGAAAAAATTTTGTACTTGTCACTCCTAACAATTTGGACGAAAGCTGTGTACTAACAATTAGATTATCGTGCAATCGCTTCGAAAGCAGTATCTTTTGTACGATTGTCTGATTGTGTGTACTAGGCTTCAGATAGATAAAAAGTGACAAAAAAACTGTCTGAAATACCTTTCATTGAGAAAAAGGCTACAAAAAATGCCGAAGCATTTGGTCATATGATGTTTGCTTAAGAGAATGATAAGCCAAGCAGCCAGTTTCTGGGCTCCCCCAAAGATCGAATGACCAATACCCTAGGGTTCTAGCTATGTGGGCAGCACTAGGGAGATCCCTTAACAATAAACATTTCAGGTGTATTAACATTTGAGGTCAGCTTTAACATGAATGCAACGGGGTTCCCAGCTCTGTTTCTAATGTGTGCAATAGCTCCATGAACAATAAAATGTCAAAACTTCCTTATTAGTAAAACCAAATGCTGATTTCAATAAGATGCATGAACAATGTGTGCATTTCTATAAATAAGAACATACTTTCTTTAGAACCAGCACTGCTAGTAACCCCGGACCCGGCTGAAGATCTTCCCACTGGGCTGGAATGCTTGGCTCCCCTCCCTGGGATTTTCAATCCACTTGGCTTCAGCATATTTGTGGCTCTTGCTTCACCTTGTCAGCAAATTCACCTCCTCGGTCAAAGTCTTCTCACATTTAACCATTAGCCTCGTGTGGTTTGGATGCTTCCTCTCATGCTTGGATACCTAGAACAAAAAAAAAAAAAATCACATTGTTTATACAGTACAAATGAATGTGTTTATGATATTTCAACATGTATTATTCAGAAGTATATTTTATATAAAAATACATATAGTTTTGTTTGTTTCAAAATTAGAGGAAAGCAGGGGCGGACTGACCATTTGGAAACTCAGGTACTGCCCGAGGGCCTGGGGTCAGTAGGGGGCCCCAGGAGATGCCCCTGGTACCTTTTTCATAGGCTTTTTTGAGTTTGGGCAAGGACACAGGGGCCCCATAATCCCCTATTGCCCAGGGGCCCCATGAGTTGTCAATCCGCCCCTGGAGGAAAGGTGACAAATCAATTTTTCTACCAGTTGTTAACTTTTGCCAGATACACATCTAAGGATATACACTAGCCCTACACTTGTATCTCTGCAGAGAAAAAGACAAATTATTTATTATGCCACACCCACAATTTATGCAATGCTCTACATATATAGTATATTCACAGTCCCTGCCCTCAAGGAGCTTAAAGTCCAAGGTCATTATATCCTATGCACACACACATACATACACATTCTGTGGCCAATTTACATAAAGCCAATAAACCTCCCAGTATGTCCTTGGGAGTGTGGGGAAAAAAGCTGATTACCCAGAAGTATCAACGCATGCACATGGAGAACATGCAAGCTCCATACAGGTAGTGTTGTTTTCGGTATTCAAACCAATGACCCTAGTGCTACAAGGCAGATGTCCTAACCACTATGCTGCTGTGCTGCCTTCTTATGTAGGAATGGACAGCACAGTGGCTTAATAGTTAGTTCTTCCACCTGCCAGTACTAGGGTTCTTGGTTCAAATCCCAACCACAGAACCACCTGCCTGGAGTTTAGATGTTCTCCCTGTGCCTGTGTGGGTTTTCTCCCACACACCAAAGACATGCTGGTAGGTAAATTGAATCCTGTCTAAATTGACCCCTAGTATGGATATGTATGAATGTAAGTTAGGGACCTTAGATTGTAAGCCCCTTGAGGGTTAAGGACTGATGTGAATGTACAATACTATATGTAAAGTGCTGCGTAAAATGGCGCTATATAAGTACCTGAAATATATAAATGTAACAAATGTGTATATTTTGCTATTTTTACTAATCAGTGGTGCACATGAGCTCAGCTACAAGACTGGCAGTTGCAATTGTCTCACACTGTGTACAAGCAAGGAAATTATACAGTATCTCCACAGCAACACATAAAACAATTCAAACTAAGCAGCACAAATCTGATTTGCACTGCTGATCGTGCCATAGGGGTTAGGAAACAGATCTCTCTGGAGGACCCAGATCTAAATGGTCTTTCTTTTCACTCTACATGAAGCTCAGGCATAGCAGGCAAAATCAGCATCTGCATAAAGAGATGGTGGCCATGTGCAAACCTTCTACCATTGTGTGCAACTATTCAGTAGACTTGGACTAATGGAAAAGCCCCCAGTATGGATATAATGTAAGTATGCTCTGAAACGTCTCTCATATAAGAATAGACCTGGAATAGACAGTACATCATGGCTGGGCATTAGATGCCTGAATTTTGTATATAAATAATATCGTAATATTTTAATTCCTCAACAACTGAAAGTTCTGATAGGGTCACCGCAGGAAATGCTTTGTTGCAAAATCCCGCTAATTGTCAACACGCTTGTAGATTCCATTCCGCTATAATGCATTTCACCCAAAAATGGACTTAATAATGGTGATAAGAGAGATGCTTTTTTTAATTCTTTTTATTAAATTTAACAAGTATAATACACAGAAAAATGAAATTAACCGGGGCACAGTCTGTAAGAACAAAAATAAAACAACAAAATTACAAAATTATCCCCACTCCCCCTTCCCAACAACAGTGCAATTCCTTCAATAAAACAGAGTCAAAGTCCAGGTGCCCCAACCTTACAAAATAGCGACTTCTCACATAACATACCCAGAGAACCACAAGCAAGGCAATATTAGACAATCAATGTATGTGGTCTATTTTCCAACAGATACCAAGGACCAAACACAGTAGCAGGCAACATCTGAAAACATCCCTAAAGGTTCATGCTACAGTAGATTAGGCAGAAACCCAACAATGCCAGCCCTTATCGAATTTTGGGGGGGGGACCTCTGCTCCAGTAGGTCAGCTTATATAATGGTAACATCATGTTAATTGGGGATTTCCAATAAGAGAAAGTGGGAGCTTCAGATTTCTTCCAATGAAGCAAGATAGCTGTCAGGGCTCCAGGTATGACCAGAGGTGTGTGGGCTAACGCAGGGAAACACAGGCTCAAGTATGGTGTAAACAATATAATTTATTAGAGGCTATACAAAAATATAAATGCACAATATAAACAAAACCAAACCTCCAACTGAAACAGAAAGTACAAGCACACAGACAAGAATAGTCAGGACTGGTGAGGTGGAGTGGTCAGGCAGGCCGGGTCAGGAACCATTGGGCAGACAAGGTACAAAGGAGCAGGCAGAGCGTAGTCAGACGGGCTGGGTCAGGAACAATCAGGCAAACAAGGTACCAGAGGAGCAGGCAGGAGAGTGGTCACGAATAGCCGAGGTTGGTGCAGGCAGAGTTCTATCAATGTCAGGAGTCAGGCAGAGGGATCAGGAAGGCAGGCAGACATCAGGTTCAGACACATGGGAACAATACACCAAGGCACTGATTGCAGGCCTGGTGCTGCTTAAATACACCTCCTGCAATCAGCCTCAGGTGATAGCTTGACTGCAGGAGTGAGATTCTGGCTGCTGAGAGCACCCGCTGGCCAGCACTTGTACTGCAGCCCACAAGGCAGTTGAGTCCCACCACCAGTGGCGAGTCCATTCCTGACAATAGCCTTACGAGCACAGAACAGGGTCACTGAAAGGAGGGTCTGCTGTGCACGCAGAGGTGCCAACTCCTCCACCAGCCCAAGAAGGCAATATAAGAGAGATGTTTAAAAGGGAGATTTTTTGGGGATTTTAACTGGATTCACAAAGATGTCATTATTAATGCAAGATTTTGGAGTAAATAAAACATAGAGTTTGGTGTATGGAGCGAAGACACGCTCATGGGCAGGCAACCTGTGTTTGAACTCAGCATTGCAGGGAAGACGTGTGCACTTGGGAGCAGTGCTATCTTTGATTTTCTACTAACTGTGAGTTTAATTTTTCATTTAATAAACTTGGCAAAGAACATTGGGGATGATTTACTAAAGGCAAATAGGCTATGCCCTGCAAATGCACTTAAAGTGCAGTGGCTCTAGATCTGAGGGGAACATGCAAGGAAAATAAAATCACAGCATTTTTGCTTGCACATAATTGGATAAAAGAAATCAGTAGAGCTTCGTCCCATTTCAGAGCTTCCCCTCGGATATAAAGCAACTGCAAAGACAGTGCACAGTATATTTACCTTTAGTAAATATACTAATATAGTGTATGTGTCTTTGTGCTGTAAATGAATGTATTTAAAACTATTATGTCTTGGTTAAATAAATAAACTATATAATGGAGGAATTACCACAGTGTAACTGACAGACTACGAACCACAATATATGGAACAGCTGAAGAACTTTTAAAACTTTCACAGCATATTTGCAGGTTTGTAACTCTCAGAATGAAAGACCTGAAGAATCAATGATCCTGGTCTCAGGGTAGTCAGTGTTCCCTTTTTTTCTTCTATTACTTTTCTTGTTTTGGTTCTCTGTTTCTCCTGTGCAACTGCTATGTGGTAAATTACATTGTTCGGAAGTAGACAGAAACAGACACTAAATTGGTCTTTTTTCTCGAAAAAAAAATTTTTTCTAATAAAAACTAAATGAATAAAAGGAAGCCTGAGCCTAAATTTGTATTTGAAACAGACATTTTACATGTTTTTGGAAAAGAAAATGGTTACAAACAGGGAATAATACCAGGCCATGTGCATTACCTTGAAGTACCAAAAACCATTTGATTTCATTTGAAAACCAAAGCAATGGCTTATACACTAACCCAGTGGTCTCCAAACTGTGGCCCGTGGGCTGAATATTGCCCTTTGCTTGCCTTTATCCGGCCCTCGGAGTAATATTCCTCCCACTGATACCAACAAGGAGGCACCATTTCTTCCACTAGCACCAACTATGGGGCATTTTTCCTTCCATTGACACCAATGATGGGGCACAATTCCTCCCACTGATATAAACAACTAGGTACTATTCCTCCAACTGATACCAAGGATGGGGCACTATTCCTCCAACTAATACAAAGGATGGGGCACTATTCCTTCCTCTGATACCAATGATGGGGCACTATTCCTCCCACTGATACCAATGATGGGGCACTATTCCTTCCTCTGATACCAATGATGGGGCACTATTCCTTCCTCTGATACCAATGATGGGGCACTATTCCTTCCTCTGATACCAATGATGGGGCACTATTCCTCCCACTGATACCAATGATGGGGCACTCTTCCTTCCTCTGATACCAATGATGGGGCACTATTCCTTCCTCTGATACCAATGATGGGGCACTATTCTTTCCTCTGATACCAATGATGGAGCACTAATCCTTCCTCTGATACCAGTCATGGGGCAATATTCCTCCCTCTGACATCAATGATGGGGCACTATTCCTTCCTCTTATACCAATGATGGGGCACTATTTCTCACTCTGACACCAATGATGGGAAACTGTTCCTCCCACTGACATCAATGATGGGGCACTATTCCTCCCACTGATACCAATGACTGGACACTATTCCTTCTTCCACTGACTACAAGCACAATGTAATTTTTTTTTTACTTCTACTGAGGCTGGGACATTTTCTACTCCCACTGGCCACTCCAGCCCTCCTAAAGCCTGAAGGACAGTAAACTGGCCCTTTGTTTAGAAAGTTTGGAGACCCCTGCACTAGCCTATT